ATTATAAGTTTAATGGCTATGAAAATTTAAGATACAGCTCTGATTCCAAGATGAATTATTGGAGTTTTATATAAAACTGTTCAGCATTGCACATTTTGCTTAAAAAAGAAATGAAATCAAATTTCCATGCCACTTTTAATCAATTAGCTAATGTATATCAAAATAAAATATCAATAAAGAAATTTTATATCCCTATTTTTTAAATTTGTTTTTGTTAACTGCAGCATCTTCGTTGGAATTGATAATTAATGTGCAGACTATGGTACCATAATTTAATCTTCTACCTACCTTAAATCAGTCAAAAACTGTATAAAAACTATAGAGTTGAATTCTTTCTAGAAACAATTTCTTTGTTTACTACTCTTTTTTATTTACCATTGAAACAATGTTTCTTGGAGTCATAAGCAATAGAAAAAATATGCATATTGTTTTATTTCTGTGTACTAAGTTGTATTGAAATTGGATCAAGTTGAAGCAGTACTAATCATTTTGAAACTGATGCTTAGAATTGCATCTAAAGGAATTGGAGGGGGGGGGGGCTTTACTATGTGATGCTGTACTCTAAATCCTGTGTATATACGGAAGCGGATAGATGCAAGGTAAGAAAATATTTATTCGGCGGCTGCCATATAATTACAATGTACCACAGTATCTGGAGACCTTCATTTATTTATGTGGCGGCCGCCAGATAAATTATATTTCTACCTAGCGCTTACCGGCTACCGTAGATATATCCCTTCTGAATTAAACCAAAAAAATACCATAGAGTCTAACACATCTGTTTCGAATTTGGATATTTTTCTAGAAAAAGATGTCATTAAATTTTGTAATCTAACCAAAAAAAAAACCTTTTCTATCGTGAAGTTTCCTTTTTTATAAAGCGCGCTCGCTCCGTGATCAGACGGTTGGGGTAATGTGACCTTAAAAACCGAGGGCCAATGTCAAGGCTGGTGATAATATGATAAAGAACCCTTAGTGCTCGATGGCCCTGACTGCCGAATAAAACAGCTTACAATCAATCAAGACAATCATAATGTAGTAATATACCCTTATCATTGTATATGGTGTTAATGTCTCCCAGTTAATTTTTTTTTGCAAAAGCAGCTGTATGTGAAAACAATTTCTAAAACAAGGCAAGCTGTCGACAATCAAGTTGATGAAACAAGGAAATGAACATTCTCGTTTTTAACATTCAGGTATTTCTATGGTCGATAAAATGACCTTGTCATGATTTTTGAGCTTATTTACTGTTCTTCATCTCCATATTTCATTCCAATGCTGGATCTGACCTACATTTTATGACAGAAAGCATATTATTCTTAACATGAGTTTGTTTTCTTGACAAATGGTTCTTGAACATTTTTATGCCCATCCCTTTTTTCCAATGGCCCGATAACCACTGATGATCTCGTCTTTTACTTATCTTGATAAAGGTGTTAGGTAAGATGGGAGAAATATGGAGATAACGAATAGTAATCAAACTCAAATTGCAGCTTTTTGCATGTAAAGTACGAGAAGAAAAAGTACAAGCTCTAGACAACAAGTTGATGAAACAAGGACATCAACATTCTCGTGTAAAGTCAACATAGAGCTCGTAGAAAAATGAACCAAAATATTTACGATCTGTAAAAGAAAAATATTTCAATACTTTTTAACCTTTTAAACGCATTCTTGTCCAGTTCGATCACTTTATCAAATTGATATTGTGGTAATCGCAATGTAAACAATGTTAAAACGATATAGTGTTTATATCGTCTACATTGTCAGTATTTCTATATTGACATTGTCAACAACGATATCATTATTACATCGTCTACATTGTTTTCATTCGCCATCATGTTGACATCGTCCACATCGCAAAATACCTCTTTAAACTTGTTTTCATTGCTACTATTGACAAATATGTTTGGTTGACAAGGTATAAGCATGGAGCTAATTCAGCAGCCAGGGAACCAAGATAGACAAGTGTCAAGGATTAGGTTTTGTTTTTGCTTAAAAAACACAGAAAGAAGGTGAGCCATATTGATTCTGTTTTTAATTGTTTAAATTCTGATTGAACTCTCCCTTCTCTCCCTCCCCCTTTCCCCACCTTAAAAAACATTACTAATTCACATGTATCTTCTTGTGATTAATGCATCATAATGCATTTTCTTTCTTTTCTCATTTTTAAAATATTTTTTAGATTGAATTTTATCACTTTTATCGCCCACAGGGACAGGGGTGGGATGTGGCAACGCACTTTGAAAAAAGTCCATACGGTACAGGGTACCGTTACTACGATAGAGCAACTATGTTCGACCAAAGGTTACAATGGAATGCCTAAAAAATTTCAATTAATATATTCTTCTCAAGAACATCGAAGCCATGATTAACAATTAATATAGAATCATCCTAAGGCCTTATATAGTAGTGCAGAATCAAACTTTTTTAGTTAAAGAGATATCTCTATAAGCTTAGAGAGATAATCTATATATGCCAAAGAGATACCGCTCAAACATGAAGATTCAGGTCAAGAAGTCAGAAATCATAGCATGCTCGGAAATATCTTGCCACAGATAATGCACGTGTCAAATATGAAAGCCCTATTTCTTCTAAATAAAAAGTTATAAGGAACGTTTTTGAAAAATTAACCTATTTTTTCAAAAACATTCCTTATAACTTTTTATTACTATCACGAAATGGGAGACAAAAAAAGGACTTAAGATGTGACTTGCAGATCACACCTTCTACCTGTCTTCTCGTTCTCGATGATCGAGCTAGGGTAGATTAATCAATTAGAGTTTTTCGAAAGAAATATATATAAAAAAAATACCTTATTTCTAAAAGAACGAGGGCGCTTTTGATTGGCATTCGGCAGGAATCTGGGCGTAATTGAAAAGTGAAAATTTTATCGACATGTCACATGAAATTTTAACATTTTTTTTATTTATCGGGTTCCTGTGAAAAAGGAAAGGAAAATATTTTCCAAAAATTGAGCTTTGATTTGCTAAAAAATAACTTGAAAATTGACCAGATCTGACATTTGGCACAAAATGGTACATTTTTAAACACGTTTTCTAAAAATTTTCTATCTCTGGGTCTTCTCTCCATGATTTTGAAACGTTATTTGTGTGTATTTTAATTCAGAGAAACGTATACACTTTTTTAAAAAATGGAGAGAAGACCCAGAGACCACGAAAAATGAACTTTTCCCCCCAAAAATCCAAATATGTGAATGCGGTGCTTCTTTGTCCTTTTAAAATCAACTGCATATGTGTAGCAGTGATAGTTCAGTAAGTTGGGCTGCCTGTTCAGTGCACTCGAAGCGAAAAGTTTTTGGTTCGAGCCTGGCATGGGGCGTTAATTTTTTTTTTCATGCAAACAACCATTTATTTTTTTCAGTTTCGTTTTATGTACTGATGTATTAAAATTTTGAATTATAGATAAATTTTGGTTCTCGAGCGAAATCAATTCTACTCTTCTATTCTATAATGTACACGAAGACGTATCATGCATATATGCATTAAATATTTTAGGTTTTTATAAATTTTTTGAGAAACAATACTATGTTATAGTACTCCCTAGGAAAAATGGACAAATGTTACAATTTCACAATGTCTTTCAAACTAAATGAAAAAAAAAACTATGAACGTGTTTGTAAAATATGACCAGCTATGCTTAGCCAACCAAATCATGGACATTTAAACCATTTTGTTTCGTACAAATGATTCCTGCAGATCACTCGCCAAATGCGCCCATCTTCTTTGAAGTCCAGAATTTTGTTTTATACATTTTTTTCAAAGTGCGTTAAGTGTCTCCATGGTAAACTCAAATATTAGAAGTGGATCCAGAAATTTCGTAACGCAGAGGGCACACTGGAAGGCAGGGGTCCTGGGGGTTGCACTGCAGGCGCCAGTGGGTATAGGACAAGACCCTAGTGGGTGTTCCGGAGGGCGAATCCCCCGGAAGCTGACAAATTCTTACAAATAAGAGATGTTTTCTCCTTGATTTTAGGATAATGGACGTATAAATTTTATTTATTAGAAAAAATTCAAACGGGGGGGGGGGGGGGGGGGGGGGGCTTTGAATGTTGATGTACATTTTTAACGCGCCATCACGATGTCTGCACAGAATTGCATGTAGATAAGTGCATTAGCCACACATTTTTATAAATTAGATCCAAATAGGATTATTTCAAGCCGATATATTGTAAGTATTCAATATATCAATATATTTATGAAGAATAAATGAATTTAAAAGAACATTGTATTTCTTGCTTTTATGATTATTTCACTTGATCATCATCATTGTTTAGATATACAAGTACATCATTAATAATGATAATGCACATATTGCACAACAACCCATCGTGCATGTCTACATATGAAACTTTAAAATGCCACCAATATATAATATAGATATGCTCTTCGTCATATGTTGTACTCTGTGTATTAATTACTTTATCATGTTCATCTGTAATTATCATATATGTTACAGTGTTTATGATTATGTCCAATAGGCCCTTTATGATTTGGATCATTGTCGCAAACCACGGCAAAATGTACGATCCTTTCCCATTCTAGGAGAGAGCTATATGCGGACTCCGGACCGTGGCTTGAGACGATGGATTTGGATTTGGTAATAAATTTTATTCTATATCAGTGGTGGATCCAGGAATTTGTAACGGGGGGGGAGGGGCTGAGGTCGGAGGAGGGGAGCATAGCCACACCATGGAAAATTTATTTATCATTTTTTGGGGGGTATATTTTGGACACAAAAATGGGGGGGGGGCAGTCTAAATCCGCCATTGATTTGAGTTGAAACACAATTTGATACACAATCCTGTATTGTCCTATATATTCTCTTGTGCTATTGAATGATCATTAGTTACTCTTTCAATCGCTCTATAATGCCTAGTGGCTATTTCACCTCTTTTGGCCAAATTCAGACATGTGATACATGTCATGTGGTTTAAAGAACCAATAGGCTTATACTTTAGAATTTCCCCCGCTATTGGTGAACTGCCTTTGTTCATCAAATGTTAAGCTTATTGTATCTATTATGAAGTATGACTTATTAGAATTAGGCTGACAAACCTGGAACCTGAAAGATTATTGGTATGTATCTATATGTATGTATAGTATATCAGACATATTCATGCAGCTTTATTGAGTCTGTCTCGCTCTATAAACAGATAAACACAGTGACCGAACAAAAAATCTTGAAGGGGGGGGGGGGGGGGAGGGGGCAGTTTGGGGTCGGGGTAGGGGCCCCCAACCACAGATTTATAAAATCTTATGCATATTTTGGACACAAAGAAGGGGGAGCTGGTCCCCCTTTAAACCCGCCTGTGAAACAGATGATTATTGGATATTAAATCATGTGAAGTATAGGGACGTGGCATCGATTGAAAAAAAAGCAAAGTTGCCCAAAGTCGAAAATCCTATTTCATGGGGGGGGGGGGGGGGGGGGGGGGGAACCAGCCATTCAAAGAAAATTTCTACAGTATAAGTACTGCTAGGAAAAAAAATAGCTAAATAAAGCTATTTTGAATAGTTTAATAAAGCTATATAGATATTTAAAGCTATATAGCTAAATCAAGAGATTGTACTGGACCTGATTATCTTATAAGTTTATTGTTAATTTTTATGCGCTGTAATTAAGATCCAGTGGTATATAGTTTTTGTTCTGTCCATCCATCTTTCTGTTTATCTGTTTGCCTTTGTTGACAAAAACTATAACTTTACCCATAATATTTTATTGGATGAAGCTATATATGGTTTTATTTCACAGGTGTATTCCTTGTGACATGACCTTTCTTTGCATACCACCAAATTTGACGTCTTGACCTTGACCATTGATTTTGACACACTTTAACAAAAAACAAACAAACTTTAATCTTGGCTATATCTTATGAACAATTGGTGCTTAATATAATTAGGCTTTCATACTTCACATATGTATTCATAGTGATTACACTGTCAAATATAAAAAATGACCCTTTGACCTTGACCTTAAAGTTTGACCCACTTTGTACAAAACTTTAACCTTGGTCACAACATTTAAACTGTAAATACTACAGCTTTCACATTTCACGGGTCCGGTGTTTTCCTTGTGAAAAGACCTTACACTTGATACCAACAATTTTGACCTTTTGGCCTTGGAGTTTGACATGCATTTAAGAAACTTCAACCTCAGCCTTAAGCTGCCATACAGAGACATCAGAGTTGCACAAACGCACCATCTTGTTTTTTTTTTTAATGCAGAGCAAATATCATTTGATTCTTTTAATTTCTTTATTATCTATTTTAGTTGTCAAAGGTGACTGACTTCTTCCAGCATATGAACAAAGGGAAGGAACAGACAAGTCCAGTCAAGGTAAGTAAAACCTTAAAAATAAATTGAAAAAAAGTATACAGTTGTGACTTAATCTAGCTTCGTCAGATCTGTATTCATGTAAGGGGAAATATGCACATTAAATTAAATAAGTTACATTTTATATGTCTAATTCAAATATAATCAAATATTTGGGGTTATACAGTTTATGTCCTGTTAATCTGCCTGATTGTATGCAAAAAAAATTGACCTTGCCCATAACTTTTGAGTGGGTGCATATATGGGTATATGGCATTTTCCTTGTACAAGTTTTATGGTTAAAAAAAGTGATACTTTGAAGGCTTTCCTATCCACATATTAATAAATCCTTAAATTCTTAAAATTCCAAGTTTTTTGTATGATAAAAAAACCAGAAAAAGTCAATCTGCCTATAAATTGGGTGTATTTTACTGAAATTTTGGGAAAAAGAGTAAATGTTTAATTCAATAAGTGTTAATCTTTTAGAAGACCTGAATGTAAGGAATATCAAGTCCTGAGTTGGGGCTAGCTAGGTTAACATGTGTATTTTCGATAATATTTGACTAAACCTTCAATGGGTACATACATGTAGGTATTTTTGACTTTGACCTAAGAGTTTGACCCTGAGTTTTGAAAACTTTAACCTTGGTCATAACTTTTGAACAGTTAGCACTTAATAGGGGTAACACTTATAATTATCTACCATGTGGGAGCATCAGTTGTTTCACAAACACATCTCATTTATGCTTATTTAATATTGTTTATTCCTATTGTAGGACTATTGTGACCACTACATCTAAATACATCCATATCAACACCGCAATATTTAATGATTGATGGACCCATAATTATGCGTGTGTTATATTCTTCACATAAGACCACTTCTACATATGGCGCTCTAGTTGGCTGCTGATGATGGATAGATGGTGCGTACACAGGATAAAGCAGTTAGCTAATGAATGATGGTCAGCCTCTACCTTCCTTCTTGTGAGAGCTACTTGTTTTAACTGTCAACAGTGAGAGTTTTGTGCTGGCTGACGTTAGCCTAAGTACAATAGTGATCAACACTGTGACCTGTGATTTTATATTGTAACTTCTGTGTGCATTGACTCTGTGAAAATTCAATCGGAATTATTCCACCAGCGATTGGTAAGAAAGTCTACCATACAGCACTTGTTTACCTAACCAGTATATAGTTAAGAATTTTATACCCCCTGCTTGAAAAGTGGGAGGGTATATTTAGCTATTGAGGTTCGGATGTCTGTTTGTACGTTCATCTGTCTGTCTGTCTGTTTTGTATTATTATCTACTCTATACAGCCGTACATGTAAATTGAAAACTACACATTTGTGCCCTGTCCTTATTGTACTGGTAATTGATTTGTGCCCTCTCCTTATTGTATTGGTAATTGATCAAATATATAGTTATAAATTTCAGATTCTTATACTAACACCTTGCACTGCACTGCATGATACATATTTATATTATTTGACAACTGCTGACTGGACTGAACAGATGTTGACAGAGCTGTGGTAGCTGTGGGAGAATGCCCATAATAGGTACAGGTAATGCCCCCCCCCCACCTCTTGCCCTTCTTAGTCACATGTACATTCACATGTATATGATAGGTATTAATACATATGTTTGTATGTTGATCAAGTGAAATATAGTAGGTGTGTGACAACAGTAACAGTAGCTATAGACTAAATGTCTGTCTGTCATAGTTTATATTTGAAGTGAATCAAAGTACATGTATACTAGGGCTGGGACGATATATCGAGATATCGATATATCGTGATATATGTGAGGACGATACGCATATCGATACATATGAAGAAATATCGCCCCAAAAATCTTACTTCTATTTTTCTTTGTTTATTTCACATTTGGGGTTTAATATATAAAATAAATAAGCTAAATATAAATATAGATATGAAATAAATAATAATTAACACTACTTGAGTAAAATAATTTTGTTTTACAACATATAAACAACTATTTTGAATAAAGTATTCTTATTTGCAAAGAAATAATTTGTTTATTTCAATGCAAAAAAAGATTTTATAAGCAATTAAACATATCGTGATACATATCGTATCGTGGCTCAAATATCGTGATACGTATCGATATAGAAAAGGTTGTATCGTCCCAGCCCTAATGTATACTGAAATTTTTGGTACTGAGTAGAGAATATCACCCTTATACCTGCTCACTATATAAATATCGAGAGTAGATTTGAATAAGACTGCCAATATTTTATTATTTCATCTGCTCATATTTAATTTTCATTTCAAACATTAATTTTATTGTCTATTTTATATTCATTTTGTTTTCATTGCCTTTTGAACATCTTTTAATTGTTTTTTCTCTCTATACAAAATTTAGACCAAATTGAAGTGAACTAGAGTTATTGCCCTTTATTCAGATTAATCAGTTCAGATTATTAAAGCCTTTAAAGGTACTTGGACACAGATTTGAAGTTAATTTTTTCTGTATAATATCACGAATTATATATTTTAATACCATTTCACACAAAAATTAATTTAAAATCTTATTTCAATAAAAAGATATTAAAACTTTAAATTTTTTGGCGGGTTTGATTGACGCATGCATCCTTGCACTTTCACAAATTTTAACTTTATTCTTTATCCTTAGGAAAAATGGCAATCTTGTTGTGTATTATTGGGAAATATTAAAACTTAAATCCAGAAAAATAATTTTATTCAGAGTAGAAATGTTAGAAAGCAAAATCTTCTTCACAAGTATCGTCATTCCGTTGTGTACAGATATCGAGTTTAGCAAATCGAACACACTCGTGTTATGTACACAGTTTTTGTAAACAAGGCAAGAGCGTGTTGTTGTTTGGTGTTTACAATTCACCGGGTGTGTTTGATTGCCAAAGTCTGCTCACCACAACTGCACGGACTGACAATACATTGTGTGTTTGTTTTGCTTTCGAACATGTTTACTCTTAATTTTCTGGATTATAGTATTAATATTTTTCATTAATACACAACAGGATTGCCATTTTTCCTAAGGATTAAGAATAAAGTTAATATTTGTGAAAGTGCAAGGACGTGTCAATCAAACCCGTCAAAAAAATAAAAATTTTGATAACTTATAAATGAAATAAGATTTTTAATTAATTTTTGTGTGAAATGCTATTAAAATATATAAGTCGTAATATTATAGAGAAAAAATTAACTTCAAATCTGTGTCCAAGTGTCTTTAATGCCACGTACACCAACTTTTTATCTTAAAGATCTCTGAGTCACACTTTCTAAACAATGGTTTCAACATTGAAAGACCAATATCTATAAGCTATTAAAATTATATTTTATCTGAATTTTTCTGTATTTTTTAAAAGAAAATAAAAAGAATTATTTATTTCAAAATGAGATATGCTTTCGATTTAAAAGTTTGCTGTTAAGAACAGATGATAGAAACAAAAAAATGGATGCCTGGATTGGTTTTTTTTTTTGACCTTATTTCATTGCAAATGATGCAAATAATAAATTTTTAGAATATAAAGAAATTGTAAACCTTCTGTGATGTTCAAAAGTCTGCCCTTCTGAAACCATCCTTATTAATCTATACAAATATTTTCCACTTTAAATTCCATTTTTGTGCAAATCTGAATAAAAAATTAATAACTACGCGGTAAAAGTTATTCATTTTGCTCATTTAAACATGACCCAAGTTGTTATTTTCAAATTCTTTGACAAGAGTTTGTTTGTATCATCTGTCCTTAATGAATGCATCATGTGAATATCTAATAAAATATACAAAGAAAGGCTAGATAGACTTTTTATTTAATTTAAAAAAAAACACACACATTATTTGTAAATATTTTTTAAACCTATGTTAAAAACAAAACAAAACTATATAGTCACAACTGAGGTGAACATGTTTATCAGTCATGTTTTAATAAGAAATTTAAATGAAAATGCGAAATAAAATAATTAAGTTTTTAAAATTATCAGCCTTTCAATGCTGAAACCACACTTAATTAAGGATGCCTTAAAGATCTAATTGGAATAAAATATTGGTGGCCATCATCCTATTTAAATTAATTTTTTTTTAAAGACATTTCTTTGACTTAATATGTTTCTAAAATTTCTGAGCTACATAATTTTATTTTTTATTTAATACATTAAAGTACTTGAATTGTAATTACTTTGATTTGTTAATTTAAATTTTATTGTTCTCAATCAGAATTATACTGACAGCTGTTTTTGGAAATTCTATTCATTTGTTTTGTCCGCTTTTGCAGAAGTATATTTATAAATGTCATTACCGTATAATCCCTATTAACCTCATCTGAGCCTATAAGCGCCCCCTAGGTCTTTTTTCAATTATCAGAAAATAAGGGTCCCCTGTACAGTGATTAAAATCATCTAGAATTGTATTAAAAGTCTGCCAAAATTTGAAGAAAGTGAATATGTAACTTGTTTATTATCCAATTTCTTGGTGGAAAATGAATCATATAGCATTATTTGGGTGGATTATCTTCACTTAAAGTAAAGTTAGATATCTAAATTTATTTTAGTGGTTCTTTAAAATTTTTGAAGTTAAAAAATGACATTAAATATTATAAAAAATTTTATACCAAAATAACAGCCCCTTCTTTGCAACTTTCAAAGCTCCCGGGGCGGTTAATAGGGATTCTACGGTAATTGTCTATCAGTCTGTTTCAAATATTTTAACCTTGGACATTACTTTTAGGGCCCTCCACACACACACAGTTTATGTTTTCATGTTATTGAGCACTACTTTTAACCAGCATTTCAACCTTCAAAAACTGTCCAGGAATTAAAATGTAATTTATACTGATTTTTTAAAATAATAATTTCACAAGTTTCAAGATATTTTTCCTAGGGCATTTTCATATTGAACAAAATTTTTTTTGTTTTACCCTATCGTATATTTTTAAGCTTCAGAGACCAGAAGAGCTTATGAGATAGTAATGCGTCTGACGTCCGTCTGTCTAGCTGTCCATCTGTCTGTAAACAATTTTTCAAAATGCTACTCCTCCTACAGTTTTGATCTGATTTCATTATAACTTGGCACACAACTAAGATACATAATTCTGAATATTGGTTTTTGATTTCAATGAACAATGTTGCAGTGGTAACCAAAAATTAAAATTTTTGTGAAATACTTTCAAAATGCTACTCCTCCTACAGTTTTGGTTTGGTTTCAATATAACTTGGCACACAAGTAGATTATACAAACTTACATAATTCTGTGTATCCGTTTTTGATTTTGATGAAAGGTGTAGCCGTGGTTATTAAAAATAGAAATTTTTGTGAAATACTTTCAAAATGCTACTCCTCCTACAATTTTGGTCTGATTTAAGTAATTTGGAATAAAAGTAGACTACACTAAGATACATAATTCCGTGTATAGATTTTTGATTTCGATGAACGGTGTTGCCATGGTTACTAAAAATTGAAAATACTCTAAAAGGTTATTAATAGCTACTCCTACAGCTGTAGTCTTATTGCAGTATCTTGCCACAAAAAGAGCTCAATCAAGCATCATTATTCTATTTATTGCTGTTGTAAAGTTTCAAGTCCCAACTGCTACTTTTGTCTTCATTTATTATAAGTACAAACCAGTAGAGTTTCAGTCCTGACAGAGACTTCTGTTTTTTTCTAAAGGACAGCAAAGTCATGATTAGACATATTGATGCCCTGTTCACACGGAGAGTTTAATTCACAGTTAATTAATGTGAAGTTAGCTAACAGTCCAGTCCAATACGAAAATTCGTAATATTACGAAAAAACGTAAGATTACGAGAAAGCGTAATATTACAAGTTATCGTAATATAAAACTTATATTACAATTTTTCGTAATGTAGTTAAATTACGAATACGCGTAATATAGCTGATGTAAGAGGCTATATTACGAGTTTTCGTAATCCAAGACAAATTCAAGCATTGCAAGAAATTGAGTGGCGGGTAGCAAAGTATGACGTTTACTACGAGATGTCACGGGCGATAACTTGTACGACTCTTACTGAGATTTGAATTCTGTGTATTTCAATAAGAATTGCACGAACAGTTGAATTATGAGACGAAGGTGTAATTTTTAGGGTAGACTTTGCAAGAAAAGTAGGGAGTTCGGGTGATATAGACCAATGCGACATGCTTAAGCAAATACTGAAATTTACTGGAAATTTGGTCTTATCCTTGGGAAAATTCCTATAAAAGAATAATAAAAGAAATTGTCCACTCACCCATCGCTGGCGGTACTTTCTTCTTGAATTTCCGTGCTTTCTGATAGGCGTAACTGACTAAACTGACCGCGTGCTATCAGTAGCCGTGGAATCTGATATATTACTGACGTCATACTTTGCTATCCACCACTCAATTTCTTGCAATGCTTTCGTAATATAGTCTCTTACAATCTGCTATATTACACGTATTCGTAATTTAACTACATTACGAAAAATTGTAATATAAGTTTTATATTACGATAACTTGTAATATTACGCTTTTTCGTAATCTTACGTTTTTTCATAATATTACGATTTTTCATATTGGACTGGACTGGCTAATGCGA